GCAGAGTAATGAAGCCAATTCACAGAGGCTGACAACATTCAGGTAATATATTGTACATCTCGGTACATGGTACCAAAAAAAGAAGCAATCAGTACTGTGGAAAAGTATTTTTTTTTTACAAACCCAGGATGCACATTTTTTGAGTCTGTTGAAGACACTGGTAGTTTATTTTTAGATAAAAGTCGGCAGCAAATTTGAAGAAAATCTTAAATTAAAATCTACTTTCGGTTTTTAAAGCTTCTTGCACTGCCTTCCTCTGCCTATTGCAGACACTGATCCCCGTTAACCTCTATTCCTCTCACTGCGTTCCTGCGTGAGTCACTCCTTCTCCTTCTCTCGCCCACTCAGAGTGACTCCCCCCCTCATACATTCAGGGCTCTTTCTTAGGTGCAGAAAGCTGAGTACAGTAGGTATGACTGCGGGACAGGGTTGTCCAGAATCCACAGGCACCCTTTCCACCACCCTGAAGATTCCTTTAGAAGAGAAACTGAGCACTGTGTGTACAGTAAGTATTCTCCACTTAAGAGTCTCCTCATCGGCACATTCACACTGCTATGTCCTGGGCTCCACTGGTCTTCCTGCTCTGGCCAGTCCAGTAAAATAATGACAGGCTGGAGGAACAGAGTCTCTTTAGTCTGAAGGGAGTGTCCCACACTGACAGGCTGGAGGAACTGAGTCTGTTTAGTCTGAAGGCAGAGTCCCACACTGACTGGCTGGAGGAACTGAGTCTCTTTAGTCTGAAGAGAGTGTCCTACACTGACTGGCTGGAAGAACTGAGTCTCTTTAGTCTGAAAGGAGTGTCCAGAACAGAAAGCAGGAAGGAATTGAACTTTTAAGACTTGAACAGAGAAGACTATGTTGGACACTTATACAAGTTGTTTAAAATCCTCAAATGCATTAAGAAAATTAATTGAGCGAACATCCTCTGAATCAAGAGTGAAATACAGAAGATATTGAAATCTTCTGTAATTAAAAACTAGAAGAATGTGGTGAAATAGATACAGTTTAACATTGTTGAGTGAAGATGAGCATTGTCAATGTCTAAAATTAACAGCTTTTTTTCATTTACAGTTCCTAACATATTAAAATGAAACATTAATAATTACACATTAAAGAGTGAAAGATATCTGCTTACCGGTCATGGTCAAACTGTATTCAGGATAGTGATGATTAACAGCTTTTTGAAATGTTACACTGTTGATAGTCCCATCTGCTTGCATAAAAGCCATATCTAGAAATGAAATGAGATACGAATCAGTGTAGATCTCATCTTCGGTCATATTGTCTCTGCACCTTGCTTGGCAGAGGAGACTAGAGAGGAGAGACTGAATAAGAGAGGTGGACTTTACTCTACTCTACGTTGTGCGGTTCAGTGTCCTTCTGTACTGAAACAGAGAAGGAGGAGTTTTGAGTTCCTGTAATCTTTATAACTGACTCTATAGCAGAGACTCAGTGTGAGTGTCCAGCTGTCTCTCTGGACTCAGCTCATACAGTCAGATCTATGGATCCAGACAGCGTTTACACTGGGCTACAGAAACCAGCACAGGACGTGTACGAGACTGTGACCAGGAGAGCAGAGAGAGAGCCAGGAGGAGAGCAAACCAGTGAGTACAGCGCTAATACTCTGATACACAGAGATGCTGACTGATGCTCTGATACGTTTTAACAACAACATACTGATAAACTATTATATCAACCCCATAATACATTGTATACTGGTACAATAACACACTGTTATCCTGAAACACTAATATACTTCTACTGTAACATTGATATATTAGTTCATTTACGCTTCTATAAAGTTATACTGATATAGTAACACACTGATATTATGTTATATTAACATTGATACACAGCTGTTGTCGCCTTAGTTCCTTGCAAAAAATGCCACCCTCAGTGTACAATTCCCGTTCTTAAATATTAGCCTCATTGCACATTACTTACGCATCCAAATAAGATACATCATTCCTTCTGTCGTTTCTGTTCTTAAGGCAAGAAGTCTTTAACGTGCAGGGTTTTCCCCCTCTTTAAGTCCTTGTATGATGCTCTACAGCAGAGCTCCGCTCCAAACACGACACTCCGAAAGCACTATTGCCGTTCCAGACGAGTACTGTATGTAGAACCTGTTCCGCCCTCTATCCTAGCAGTGCAGTGCTGGTGCAGGAGGGGTATCCCGATGGCTCTGGGCGTCACAGTGTGTGTCTTACTGGTCACAGTCATCGCCCTGGGGACAGTCTGTAAGTCTCCACCGATGTCCACCGATGTCCTGCGTGTTTGTGTTCAGCTATGCGGTCTGTGAGTGAACATCAGACACTTTACTCAAATGAGAAGAGCCCCTCTAGCCCATTTGGTAAGGAGAAGCGAATTGATCCAGTGATCACAGCCAGCCGTTTCTTGAAGGCAGCCAGGGTATCGGCTTCAGCGTCGTGCCGGGGTAGCTGAGTTCCACGCTCCCACACACCTCAGTGCAAAGTGTTGC